TATTTTAAGGACTAGAAGTAGTAGAAAGGGGGGTGTAGGAGGTTTAAGCCCATTAAGGCATAATAAGAATTATAGGGTTATTATATTAGTTTTTAGAATTAATATGAAAAAGAAGAAGCAGTAAGAAGAGAAGGAAATAAGGGTTGGAAGAAGAGAAAGAGAACGTGAAAGTTGCAGAAAAGAAGGAAAAGAGGTAGAACGGAATTCAACCGAAAAAGTTATAGAGCAACCTTCAATCCAAGATAAGGGTGAAGTTCTGACTATATAATAGGGTTTATGATAAGTAGTATGTTGGATTATATGTGAAAACTTGTCTTGTTTATGATTTGAATGTATATGTTGTTGTATGATGAAGATCAATGACTTAGAGATGAGTAACGATGCCCTAATGTTGTATAATCATTGTAGAAATATAGGATAAATATAAATGATGATTACCTATGATTAGAGGATGTTTTTAGGGCCTAAGGCAGAGAAATCATAGTGAAAATACAGTGAAATCGCAGAAAATATTCATGACAGAACAATATGCGCCGACCTCAAAAGCCATGCGTCGATACATGCAGGTTTTTGGACTCAGGATGAGTCGATACGAAGAAGCATGCGTCGATACATGCGGTGTTGCAAACTCAGTATGAGTCGATACAAAGGGATTACGCGTCGACTCATACAGGATGTTAGCCCAGTACGCGTCGACTCAAAACATCATGCGTCGACTCGTGTAGTCTAATTTTTGGCAGATTTGTTTCCGAAGGCCGTAACTTGAGTTTCCGGACTCCGTTTGAGGCGTCGTTCGAAGTGTTGGATAGCTAACGTGATTAACTACATTCTTAAAGATTAAAATGAAGGATAATAAGAATAATTCTAGTATCCAAATTAGTATTATAGTTAGCTTCCCGCGTTAATCGCTATGATGGTTTTGTGAAGTATGACGAGGATAAGATGATTATAGATTATTGTTTGGTTCATAACAATAAGATTAATGATGATAATGATGTAGTATTACAGAATTAATAATATGTAGAGGTTCATTAACTATAGGTAAGCCTTAGATGATTAATTAATTATAGGCAATATCATGATTGTAGGCCTATGGCCAACGTTGCGGGATTGTCGATCTATCGTTGTATTATTGTTGTGGCTGAGTTGCTGTAAAAATTATGTTGATGAACCACGTTGATGAAATTATGTTGATGAATTATGCGATGAATTATGTTGATGGATTATGTTGATGAATGATGTTAAGATGCCTCTAATAATTGGCAGCTATTAAGATGTAGGCTTCTGGCCAACGAGGATGTTGTGTTGAGACGTTGTTAATTATGGTGTTGTTATTACATTCATAATTGTGTCGCATACATTACATTTCAAGATGGAGCTGATGCTCGTTAAGATGGCCTGTATTGGAGAATATTAAGATGAAGACTTATGCCTTGTTGATGCCTCTATTTATTGGCAATTATTTGAGATGGGAGTTCTGCTCCAATGGTACCACATGCATTTGCATAATATTGAGTCGCATTATATGATTTCATAAAGAATTTGTGTATTGATCCGGTAAATGTGTATATTGTTGGTATTCTGTTGCGATTATTGTTGTTTATACGATGAGAAGTGGTGATGTTATGTGATCTAATTTAATATATTATTTATCATACGTTTTATTATATTGTTAGATATCACACTCCTTCTATTTGAATGTTACCCTTACGTTGATAACATACAGGTAATCCAGAGTGAAGGCAGTATACCTTCGGTAGTTCGAGTCGGTGTCATTGCTCTGATACATAACACTCTAGGGGATGAACGCTTGTTGCTTTTAGTTATTGATTATTTAAGTTGTTGAACTTTAATTGTGTTGCTAAGTATGCATTATTTTGAAGTTGTTGTAATTGTTGGAAAAAGATGTTATTATGATTTCGCTGCGTAGATGTTCAAGTTGTTGAATTAAGAGATTAAATTATTATGCTGATAGTTCATCTGAAGTTTTAAAATGTTATGTATCCACGTTGAATGCAATGTGTCTTTAAATTTGAATTTGTGGCATCCTGATTTCAGTTGCATGAATTTTATGACTCTGATTTACATATATAATTGTCGGGTAGAATTGAGGTGTTACACACCACATGTCCTGCCATGTCACTTAAAGGCAGAAAAACACTTTAGATTGTAGGGGTTTTAAACCTCCATAAATTTATTCATTTTCTTCAGGTTCTTCTTCATACATTCCTCTCACAACCATTTCATCAAACAGTTGGTGTGCACTAAAATTTTTTCCCCTGAATATTATTTCCATATTCAATATTTTGAATAGATAAGATCATCGGGGACTCACCACCACCAGAATCAAGCCTATTTTGGTTCTATAATCAAACTAATCTCCACTCTCTTTAGATTTCTTCTTCTATCTTTTGCCTTGCTCACATCATATTTCCCAATATATACTTCACCTTCAGGTACGTAGGCTTGAAGCAACCCATCACAAAGAAACTACGTTATCGAAATCTGATGCCAATGCTTCTTCCTCTCTTAGAAAGAGACCAAAGGATTCTATTAACGGTAAAATCACTTCCACTCGCTTGCGCCATGGAGTTTCCAATAAACAATCACTAGAAACAATTCTAGAAGATTCACACCTTTTTAAATATGGTATACTAAATGCTCCTTATTGTTCAAATGATGTCGGTATACTTTTAATTCAATATCATTTATAGCTTTTTATCAGAGAAAAAAATAATAAAAGAACTGTAGGACTTCGTTATCATTATATTACTTTTCATATTTGAAGTGTCTCTTATGGATGTAGAGGAGGAGGCAATGGCTCATGCAATTGCTCTTCTGCATGCTCCATTGAGAAAACCAGTTTCTATGGTTTGGCCCTTGATAGCCCTTGCCATTGTTCATATTATTAAACCTTCTAAAGTTCATAACACAATATTTTTATTCATTTTTTACAACGAAGAGAATTCTCTCCATAACTTACATGAATTTCTCAAATATAGAACAAACAATGACAGTGAAAATCATGAAAGAAATGTTAGCTCAACAATTCGGGGAGGGTCGAGCGAGGAGCATTCTTATTTTTGGGACTATTTCTCACCCTTGTTATATTCTCAACACTCTCCCTCAAGTGTGAGTCCACAATGTTCCCACTTAAGTGTCCATAATGCTCCCACTCAAGTGGAAGCCCTTTCTTTCACATACATTTGTACCGTCGTACAATACTCCCACTCAAATGAAAGCTCTTTCTTCACATACACTTGTACCACCGTTGAAACTCTTTCAACAAGACACTCCTTACTCACATGCGAGACGCTTACCCTTGCCCATGTGAGATATTTTTCGATACAAGTAAGTCGGTCTCTTTCTGCGCAAATAATCAGAGAAAAGTCGAGCGAAGAGCATTCTTATTTTCAGGACTTTTTGTTTGAGCAACACACTTTTGTGGGAGACACGTCACTTGTCCACCTAAAACCTTAATGTGATATGTGAGTGTATTCCATTTATAAATGCTCAAGTCACCACATTCTTATCGCATGTGTGACTATTTCTCACACTTGCTATATTTTCAACAAGAAAGAGTTTCAATTGTTCCACAAAACAACATAGTCATAGTTGGTGAAGTAATGATAATAGCCATATTCAAAAACTGGGAGGATAATAAAGAATGATGTAGATGTGTTACCTCGATATGAGTGTAAAGTGCATATTTATAACCATTGAATCTCAATGATGTTTATAGTATTTCACTTATGATTTTTGGATTCAAAATATTGATTATGAAAACAATATTGTTGGAAAAACGAAAATTTTTAGTACATGCCGCTTATTTAATGAAATGGTTATGAGAGAAATATATGAAGAAGAATATGAAGAAAATTGATAAATTTATAGAGGTTTAAAACCTCTATAATCTAAAATATTTTTCTACTTTTAAGTGACGTGGCATGATACGTGTCGTGTCACATAAATCTCAATTAATAAAAATTAGAGAGAAAGACCAATTTTAAGAATAAATTTTTTTACAAAGACTATTGTTTAAAAAAATTATAGAGAAACTAAAGTTGAAAATTGACATTTATAAAAATCCTTAACATATTTAACTATTTTTTAAAAACCATAATAACATATTTAGAGTCAACCTAATTAACTAAAGACAGATACTCATTTAAAATTCAAATATACACACTAAACAACAAACATATTTAGAATTAACCTAAATTAACTAGTAAAGACAAATTTAAATATAGAAAATTTCTGCTCCAACCAAAAACCAATCTCCTCTATGAATCAATTGTCCCGTTATAGATTTTCAACACTCTCATTTTATTCCACTCTAGACTTTCCAGATTCTGCAAGTTTAACAAAATATTTAACACTCTTATTCTTTTTTGACGAAAAATAATGTAATGCTGTTTTTTTTATAACAAGAATTTAAATTAAAGTACTTTAGTAACATTATAAAAAAGCACTTATCATTTATCAATATGATATATTTTTATAAATTTAATTGTTATACACTATCACAGTATAAATATATTTACACTATCAATATATTATAATTATTTAATTTTATTATTTAAAAAAATTAAAATTAAATATTTTAAATAATTTAATAATTATGAGTTACGGACGGTGTAAAACTGCTTTGCACCTATATTTTAATTAAATCTCATTTTTATTCGTATTAATTTAACAAAAAAACCTGTACTTTAGAATTTGTTTTAAAAATCGGAAAAATGTAAATAAGCTAAAAGATTCGTTTTTCCTTCATCTTTATATCTTAGAATTAAAATTGCCCTAATCAAAGTTTGATTATCAGAGTGTTGAAGCCGTTAATGGAAGAAGATCAAAGCGAAGAGGGAGATTCAGTAAAAGACCAAAACCACCCTCACTCTCTTCCTTTCTCTGTTTCTCATTCCATTTTCAATATTCAACCATTATTATTATATTATTATTAGCTTTTGATTTATCTTATTATATTAATTTCTGTATCAAATATGGGTAAGAAGAGCAAGGGTCTCTTCACCTTTCGCCGCCGGTCTAAGAAACCCGCCGTGCCATCTCCGTCTCCGCCGCATCCTACGGCGGTCGAAATCACTAGTTCACCGTCGGAGAATCGATTGGTTACAAAAGCTAAGAAAAAAACCGGTGGAGCCAGGCTATGGATGCGGTTCGACCGGTCTGGCCGGTCGGAGCTCGTGGAGTGGGAGAAAAACACGATCATCCGCCATGCCGCAATTCCAGCAAGAGACCTCAGGATTCTTGGCCCTGTCTTCTCCCATTCATCCAATATACTCGGTGATTCAATTTCTCTATCGAATTCTATAAAATTTTAGGGTTTCGGGTTTTTCTTCATGAACAATTTCAATGTAGTTTCTGAATTGTTTATTTGATTATTGTGTTTAGCGAGAGATAAAGCGATGGTGGTTAATTTGGAGTTTATAAAAGCAATAGTAACAGCTGAAGAAATTTTATTGCTTGACCCTTTACGTCAGGAGGTTCTTCCGTTTGTTGAACAATTGAGGCTACAGCTTCCACACAAGGCTCAACCAAAACTTCTTGGTGGTGGTGATGAACAAGATTTGCCTGTTCCTGAGGGTGGTGAAGGTTTACCTTCCGAGCTTCTGCTTCCGTTTGAGTTTCAAGTGTTGGAGATTGCTTTGGAAGTTGTGTGTACTTATCTGGATTCGAATGTTGCTGACCTTGAGAGAGGTGCTTATCCTGTGTTGGATGAGTTGGCTAGGAATGTTAGTACCAAGAATCTTGAACATGTTAGAAGCTTGAAGAGTAATCTTACTCGATTGCTTGCACGTGTACAGAAGGTGTGTGCTGCATATGTTTTAAGACTATTTATTGCGTGCTGCATAAGTTCCTTCTCTTACAAGTTATAATTAGATCACTTTTTGTTTGTTTGTTTGTTTTTGTTTTTCAATTGTTAATCTTTGTTCATGTAAAGAGACTGCTTTTTAAGTTACTGAAACCATTATTTTGCTAGCTAAAGGTGTTTATGGAAGTTCAACATATAAGGAGGAAATAATTGCCTACTTAGATTAATATTGCATTCTTATATGCAACGTCCATTAAATTATTAGAGAGTGTTGAGGTAGCGTCTATAGTAGAGAAGATGGTAGAAAATAGACTTAGGTGGTGTTGGCATGTAGAGAGGACACCTGTAGATTCTGTAGTAAAGAGAGTAGACCAGATGGAGAGAAGGCAAACAATTCGAGGAAGAGGAAGACTCAAAAAGACTATAAGAGAAGTTAGTAAGAAAGATCTTGAGATTAATGATTTGGATAGAAGCATGGTCCTTGAATAGAACATTATATGGCGAAAGTTGATTCATGTAGCTGACCCCACCTAGTGGGATAAGGCTTAGTTGTTGATGTTGTTGATATGCAACGTCCTCTGTATGCATTCTCGGACTTGGACTAGACGCTGGTTGAGATACCTGTTGAAGTACTTGTATTACTAAAAATGCCAACAAAATTATTTTTTTGTAGCGAATGCACGTTACATTGAGATGGTTTAACTTTTTAGGAAGAAGTTACAAATAATTTTTAACTTCTGTGGGTTGTGGACATGTGACATATACATCCAATCATGCAATTGTGGGAAAAAAGGAAGAAAAGTTATTTCCCTCACACCCCTTTAATCGCTCGATTTTCTGTTACATTGTTAAAGTCATATTAGCCCTCGAGTAGGAAATTAGTAGAAGCTTCTGCCCATAAAGAAAAATGTTTACCCTGTATAAGTTCATGCATTTTGTTATCACAATGATATATATACTTTAGAAATTAATGGTCCACTTTTATAGGTGCGAGATGAAATTGAACATCTGTTAGATGACAATGAAGACATGGCTCAACTATATTTGACAAGGAAGTGGTTGCAAAATCAACAACCTGAGGCTCAGTTAGGAGCTACGACCTCAAATAACCTTTCAATTGTTCGACGACTTAATTCTACCAGAAGTGGAAGTGTTGTGACTAGCAATGATGATAATGATGTGGAGGACTTGGAGATGTTGCTTGAAGCATACTTTATGCAGTTGGATGGAACTCGTAACAAGATATTGTCTGTAAGTGTTCATGTGACCAGATTTTTGTCAAATCATGTTCATGTCAGTTTTTGAAGAATAGAATTGTTGTATTCTATTTAGATTTAATTGTTCTATCTAATTTACAAACATAGTTTGAGACTTCTGATTTCTTACTGCCGAAATTATATTGCATCCTTTTAGTTTTCTCTTGTTTTGTGATGAAGGAAAGTTGGGTTGTTGCTGTTTCAGTAAAATAGTACTATATTGCATCCTTTTAGTTTTTTCTCTTGTTTTGGGATGGAGGAAAGCTGGGTTTTTGCTGTTTTAGTAAGAAAGTACTTAGGAGCTTGCCCTTAGGTTTCACAAGCTTCCAGAACTTGTCTTTAGATCTCCCTGCAGAAGCCATGAAAGTTTGTTACTGTAATTGAGACAGTGCTTATGGATTGTGGTATTGGTAGTAGTCTAGTTGAACTTTCTTTTGATTCTGGATTTAGGAAATATAGTATTGTCTAGCTGATGGGAAACCAAGGGGTTGTGACCTAATCAATGATTTTCTTTTCTTAATTTGCAACAAAACTCGGAGAATGACCACGTCGAACTTAAGGGTTTGGCAAAATATTCGTGATTTTGAAATGTCATCTGAATTTGATTGGCATATCAAATATTATGAAAGTCTGATTAGAATCTCGAACGTTAATCTGTTTCATTGTTCTTGAGAACTGTCACGGTTCTAACTTATTTGCTACTGATTCGCAGGTTAGGGAGTATATTGATGACACTGAAGACTATGTCAACATCCAACTTGATAACCATAGGAATGAGCTTATCCAACTGCAGTTGACATTGACTATTGCATCATTTGCTATTGCTATTGAGACATTGATTGCTGGTGCATTTGGTATGAACATTCCATGTTCATTATACGAGAAAGACGGAATTTTTTGGCCGTTTGTTGGGACTATCACTGCAGTTTCCGTATTCCTTTTCCTGCTTGTTTTAGCATATGCTAAATGGAAAAAGTTATTGGGATCGTAAGTCATCGGCTTTTGATTTATAGCAAATGGCAATATGAATCTTGGCCGTTAGTGATTTGATGAACATACAGAAATAAGAAGAAACCATCAAACAAGTTAACTTATGAAGGGTGTGTTTCAATTTCTCAAAATGTTGTTAGGTTGGTGACAGAATGTCCCAATATTACTTTTGACATGGCGTGCATAGCTTCTTTTTGTTTTGTCGTTTTTTCTAAGTTGTATTTTAACAAGGCCAGGTCAGTTTATATGTGCATGGCAATTGTATACGAGATTAATAGTATCTTTGCTATATGGTTTATTATATAAAAAAAAACTTATTTTAAGAAGTTGCTATATGATTTTTTTGAATGATTTTATCTTTCTATTTTTTAAATTATTTTGATAAAGACTTGTTGAAAAATGGAAGAAGTTATTTTAAGTTACTTGATGTAATTTAAAATAAGTAATTTTTACATCTATGATTTATAAATTCATTGTCGTAGATTTTAACATGAAAAAATTTACACATTTTTTAAAATGATTTTTACGTGAAGTCATTCAAAATACTCTTATGTAATGAATTTTTGAAAAATAAAATGATAAAATAACATTTTTTTTTAGCATTAACCATGTTTTCAAAAAAAAAAATTCAAGTAATTATTTTTCAGAGAAAATTACGTAAATGACCATGTTTCAGAATATACTTAAATGAGGGCGTCAATTCAGATGGCACATACACTTATTTTTTGGCCTTAAACGCCATTTCATTTAACACATACACTTATTTTATGTCATGTGAGATGACATATACTCTATAATATGGAGATGATGTCTCATATGAAATGACTTCTACATATAAAAAATTAGCTCACAAAAATATTTAGACATCATCTGAGATGACTTCGAATAAATACATGACACTTATGCGTCATCTTACTTGACACATCCATATAAAAAGTATGAATATGCGTCATCTGAGTTGATTCCTCTATTTAAGTGTATTTTAAAACATGACTATATTTATGTAATTTTCTTTGAAACATGATTATTTGTGTATTTTTTATAATATAATTATTGTTAAAAAAAAATTAATTTTTAGAAAGTTTTTTTTTTTTTTTATGTAAGTTCTAGAAAATGAAATATTAAAAAGAAATAAAACTGTAACAAACAAACAGTTGATTTATAGAAAAGTTTTTTTTTTTTATAAAACAAAAATTAATTTGTTCATAAGTAGTAACAAATAAGTCCTAAATAGCAACATTTTGATGCCATGTCGTGTGAGAAGATATTATATGTTTTTTATCAATACATAAAAGAATTAGAAAAAAAATCACATTGGTATAGTCCCGGGGTAAGTTCTAGCATAAATAATTCAGTAATATTTTTTATTTAAATTTTATTTATGTTTTATAATTAAATTAAAATCTGGTACACTGACAATGTAAAATAGTTTTACAGTATTGTCTAATAGAAAATAAATGTTTTGTCACGTCATTAAAAAAATTTAAAATAAAATAATAATTGTGATTGATTGATAATGTAAAATTATATTATATTATCAGTACATCAACTATTTTCTCTTTATAATTTGAGATAGAGTTTACCGTGAAAATTGGTAAACAATCGATGATCTTTCAAAAAAAAGTTATTTTGGTTACTTGCAGGATCGATCAGTTTGATCCTAGAATATATGTAGGATGAAGGTAAAAAAAAACTTGATAAAAACGTAAGTAAAGTAAATTTACATTAATTTAAAAGGGCTGTAATGGTAAAGTTTACAGAGAAAAGTTAAATGACAAGAATTATAAAGAAATGTAAAAGACTTTGATTGCAATAAAGTATGGTGATTCAAACGTACATTCTCAATATTCTTTCTCTCACAATGGGTACTTGAATAAAATTGAGTGACTTGTACAATAAGTTGAACACACGAAATTTTACACAAATTTCCTATATTTATACTGGTAATAAGTAACTGTCGAACGATTGCTCCGTCCTAGGATGAAGACAAGTGTCCTCTACATGTTCTTCGACCTCTATCTTCATGTCACGTTGCTTTTCCTAACTGCCCAGCGAATTGTCTTTCCCTCCTTTCTTCAAATTTAAATCCACTTGCTGCTAATACAAGAGCCTCTCGATCGTAGACTGCCTTTAACTTAGAAAATTCTATAAGTGTTTTCTCCTTCTTAACAAGGATGACTTCGACGCAACCCCTTGCATAGGATCTTCTGTCGAAGTGTTTTTAGCTTAGATTTCCTCAATCCATTTTTAGCCAATAAGGCCAATATGTGTGAGTGTCGAATTTAGGAGCTAACAAATTGCCCCCCAAGAATGTCAATTTCGACACAAGGAGAAATAGCCATTCTTTGATATTTTTATTCGACACCTGTTCGTTTCTTGGTCACGCAAGTTCGTAGTGAACTTTTCGTCTTCTACCAACTACTGCTGACATCAAAGCCATCATTACATTTTTCCCAATATGTCACTATCAGTCAGTCGTTACACGCTGCCATGATGACCATTATCCCTATAACCTAGGAAAGCATGTCAAGCGTTCCCATCACTCGCATGTACAACTGCTCCTACGATCACCACGTGTCCCACTCACTCTGCAATATTAAATGACTTTGAGGGAAAACACTCTTCCCCGACTTCTATAAATAGCCACGAACATCTCCTTTGGATTTTTTCCCAAGCGTCTGATATTCCTCGTCTCTTTGCATTCACAAAGCAATCTTTAAGAACTTCATCTCTCTCATAATCTTTCTACTAACAAAACCATGGCCTTTCTCTCAAATGCTCCAAACAACCCAAAGACAAAAGATGCCTCTGATTCACGATAACAAATAGGTGTTTTCCCAACCAGCTCCGTTCCTGCTTTAATTGGGGAGCGAAGGTTTGTTCCTGAACCTATGACTAAAGAAGAACGTAATGCATACAACTCACAGGTACTTATTCCTGTTAGATATTCTGGAAAATGTATGCTATGTCTGGCCCGTTGTCAGTATGTTTTGAAAACCCTCAACACAACAACGCCTTTTTCTCAACTCACCCTAGACTCAAACCCATAAGGTGCGCAAAGAATCCCAGGTGCAATGCCTTCCAACCAACAACATTCCCAGATGAAGGAGGATATAAACCTTCAGTTCATGAACAAAGGGAATAAAATATTTAGGTCTTGCCCTAGCTTGACCTCAAAGTACTCAGAGTGGCTAGCTAAGATGTGTTGTACCCTAAATTTTGCCCCTAACTTTTTCAGTCGCACTTTCATACTATATTTTGTCATTCAGTCACAATCATTAATAAATAGCATCATTCATCACATTTCCATCCTATCATTAAGTATGCTCTTGTGTTATTGATTAACTTCTAATTAAAATACAAAAAATATTGGTCTTTGTCTTTTCAAAATTGTGTTTTGCAGGTACCAAGTCGAAGCATCTGACAAATAAGGATTTCTGCCTTCAAAAATCAAAAAAATTTAGTATGTGTCGACACATACATGTTATGTATCGACTCATGCAAGTTGATTGATTATGTATGTTGTCGAAGTGGCAGCTTGTATCAATCCATAGAGGCTTGTGTCGAACTCATGCAAAATTGATGGATTGTGTATTATGTCGAAAGGCAGCTTGTATGGATCCATAAAGGCTTGTGTCGAACTCATACAAATTGATGGATTATGTATTGTGTCGAAAGGAAACTTGTATGGATCCATAAAGGCTTGTGTCGAACTCATGCAAGTTGATTGATTATGTATGGTGTCGAAGTGGCAGCTTGTATCGATCCATAGAGGCTTGTGTCGAACTCATGCAAAATTGATGGATTATGTATTGTGTCGAAAGGCAGCTTGTATGGATCCATAAAGGCTTGTGTCGAACTCATACAAATTGATGGATTTTGTATTGTGTCGAAAGGCAGCTTGTATGGATCCATAAAGGCTTGTGTCGAACTCATGAAAGTTGATTGATTCTGTATTGTGGCGAAAGACAACATGCATCGACCCATAAAGGTGTGTATCGACTCATCCTGTTGTGTATAACTAGCATGTATCGACACATGCATGTTATGTATCGACTCATCCTGTTTGTATAACTAGCATGTGTCGACACATATGTGCTATGTGTCGACTCATGCAGATTGTTTGATTCTGTAATGTGTCGAATAGCAGCATGCATCGACCCATAAAGGCATGCATCGACTCATCCTGTGTTATACAACTAGGATGTGTCGACGCATACGACTCTTGTGTCGACTCATAGCAGCAAAATACACGTGATTTTTGAAAAAAGACAGCAATTTCAAAACTGTCATCTTTTTGGCTCCAATTTTTCTGCATAATTTGAAAATTATATCATTAATTCAATTTTTGGCTCCAAGAATCAATTACCAAACTACCACTAATCCTAATCCTAAACTCTATAAATAGAACCCTCATCTCATTCAAATTACAAGCTTTTAATAGCCAAACCCATCTTGCTAAAAAATCTCTCAATTCTCTCCATTTACCAAATTCACTCAAAGCTCCATTTTCAAAAAAAAGTTAGTAAGCTTTGCATTGAAGCTTACTAATCTTTGAGCTAAACCTTCATCCAAACACTTTTTCTTCATCAATTCTCTACATCCAAGCTTTGGTAATTGATTCTTATGGTTGAATTGAAGCAAATTCTGGAAGTTGTTTGATAATTCTCTAATTCTACCTTTGGTAAGTTAGATCATCATCTTTCACAATCTGATTTCTTGTGGATTTCTGGTTTTGATTCATTGAGCACTGTTTTATGATTCCATTAGTGCTATTTTCTTATAATTTGATGGAATTTTCATGCTCAATTGGATCCATGATCATAAGGTGTTTGATTAAAAGTTGGAACAAGAATTTGATCCTTGAGATATTGTTTTCAACTGATTTTAATAGGTTGCAATCAACTGCTGTAACATTGCAATTGTTTGTCACAAAATTGATTTTAAAAAAACACTGCACTGATGCAATAGGTTGCTGTCGAAGCACAATTGATTGCAACA